AGAATTCTGACTTTAATCTTAGAATTCTGACTTCTTTTTTTTTCCCGATGTCTGACTTTAATCTCAGAATTCTGGCTTTTAATCTCAGAATTCTGGATCTTAATGTAGATGGGCACCACAAAGGAAAAGATGTGGGAGCACTCAGCTTCACTGACAAATATGTTAGTTTTTTGAGAGGGCCAGTGACACATTGGTGGAAAATGACGGAATTAGGCGACTTTTTACGTGCCTGGGGGGTCCCCGGTGATGCCATTTCATTAATGGAAGAGCAGAAGGTGATTAAAACAAGAAAGCTAGTTTAGTCTCTTAAACAGACATGGCTACAGCTTGATACTAACATGTTTGTTAGCTGTCAGAAAACAGTCAAAATTCTGAGATTAAAGTCAGAATTCTGAGAAAAAAGTCTGAATTCTGGCGTTTTTCTCATATACTGAAATAAAATTTAAAAATCAGTTAACTTTTTTATTTTTCATTGACCCTTATCCTCTTCCGTAAAATACATACAAACACACAAATCCATTTTATTTTATATCAAAAACAACAAATGGAATACTATATTTAAGAAAAAAAAAAGTTGCATTAAAGTTTGCAGATACAGTTTAATGATTACAATTCACCTTTGTCTAACTTAGACAACTTTTATTTTTTAGAACAACTTTTCAGACATTAAATGGACATTTACAATCCATGGAGTGCAGCAGTGATCAAACTGAACTAGTGTGGGGGAAAAAACATGGTGCAGAAACGCATTTATATGGAAGTTCAGAGCATTAATTCATATGACTTAGACCAGGCATCCCCAAACCCGGTCCTCAAGGCCCGCTGTCCTGCAGGTTTTAGAGGTTTCCTTGCTCCAGCACAGCTGATTTTAATTGAAAGCTGATTAACAGGCTTTTGGTCTACTGCAATCATTATAACCAGCTGGGCTGAAGCAGAGAAACCTCTAAAACCTGCAGGACAGGGGGCCTTGAGGACCGAGTTTGGGGATGCGGTTCTTCAAGCAGCCAGAACAGAGAATCAGAGTTTTGCTTTCAGCACATTTAAAAAGTGCCCAAGACTTAAAAACACTTTGATAAAATGGAGGCACCCGGTTAAATGTCTTCCCTCAATAAAAGACATTTCATCCCAGCACTGCGTGTCCCAAGCTGGTAACATCATCAATGTCCCCGAAAACCCCCCACCATGGACTATTCTCCCTGCCGCCCTATGGGAGGAGGCTTCGCAGCATTCAATGCAGGTCAAGAAGATTCAGTAACATTTTCTTCCTCACTGCCATCAGACTGCTGACCTGTTGAGAAAACTCTAAATCATGTCACAGACTCTGTATCAAACTGACCATATCAATGTGGGTTCTTTTTGGACCATGTCTTTTCTCCCACAATGTTTACATTTGATCACTGCTGCACTTTAAGAAAAGCAAAATAAATGTTGTTTTGTATACACTCTGTGTAAAGAAAAATTACAATAAATGTCTAGTCCATGGAGTCAGGATGGACGTCTCTAGTGAAGCCACACCTAGGTTTGTGCCGTTACTCTGTCATAAGAGAATTCCGGTGCTCCAGGTGGACGTCGCTGAGCCGGAGCTGACAAACTCTAGAACATTGGGCTCTTTTCTGGAGTTCAGATGCCCCAGGCTGGTGGAGAGGACACTGGAGCTCTGGAATCAAAGGCTGACAGCAAAAGAGAAAAGTCTCCTGAAGGACTACACTCAGCGTGTGGAACCTGACAAAGCAACCCCTTCCCAGAAATGTGGTTTAATCATCAGTTTGAGGAGTTCAGCAGACCCCTTCTTAAACCTACTGAAAAGATGAGTCTGAAACAGCTCAAAAGAAAAAAAAAACTGTATCAGAATTGTGTCAAAGTTTTAACAAGAAAGGGACTTTGTGACAGAGCTCCCACTATGTGCACTCAAAGGCTTAGAGGAGACGGTGTGAGTCCAGAATGGAGGGATCTGTAAAGCCCCCCCTGAAGAAGAGAACTGTCGATCTCCAGTTGAGAATAATACACAGTGCCATCGCCTTTTTTTCTGTTTTAAATTCAACTGTGTGAAGTCAGTACCCTTTCTGTCCCATCCATGAAACTGTTTCATTTTTTTTTGTGAATGCAAGAGATTGAATGTTTGTTTTTTGTTTTTATCGTTTAACAAACATTTTAAAACTTTTGAATGTGTCATTTGGTCTAAGGGAGTTTATTTATGGTGTGGTGTACAAGAAAACAAGTCAAGAGAAATGGAAACTTCTTAATTTTATTTCAGGTGATGCAAAATTACTCTTCATATTTCAAGAAAAAAGCAATATATAAATCAAAGCAGGTGATGATGCAGTCTCACTCTGGCGCTGAAACATCAGATGCAGACTGAGACTAGAATTCAATTTTCCAAATGCATGAAAGATTTGCAGACCTTGAAAGACTCTTGGTGCTACAAAAATATGAGTTGCAATTGGTGGATGACAAACTGGTTTTTGCACAATTTCTTGTAGATTAAGTCTCTTTGGTTGATTTTAGTTTTTATTAATTGAGGATTTGTGGTCGTTATAAAAAATTGTAAACAAAGTATTTTTGTAAAATCAAACTCTTCTTCTTCTTATTATTATTATTATTCTTTGAATCTGCTTGTGAGTACCATCAATAAAAAAAATCCCAGGAAGCACTGAAAAAAGAGGACACTTTGGTTCATCCAGAGCAGTGTATGTATACTATACGGTATACAGACAGTATACTATAAAATTACTATCAAAATCTAACTCACCAGGGCCAATATCTAACATTGAATGATGAAAATGTTTGCACTTATTAAATTGTATTATTTACATTCTGTTGGTCAATTAAAATGAATGAAAATGTGATTTTAAGGCACTGATAATCTTAAATCCAATTTAGTTTATTTATACAGTGCCAATTCACAACACATGTCATCTCAAGGCACTTTACAGTTCACCAGATCATATAGTCAAATTGATTTAAAGTTTTCTATTTAGGGAAAACCAGTTGATTGCATTGACTCATTGACTCGAAGGCAATCCCTGACACTAAGCATGCTTGTAGCGACAGTGGAGAGGAAAAACTCCCTTTTAACAGGAAGAAACCCCCAGCAGAACCAGGCACAGTGTGAGCGACCATCTGCTGAGGCCGACTTGGGGTCCAAGTAGACAGAAGCAGAGATACAAAAAGGCAACTGTAAAAAGTGGCCCAGTCCAGGAAACACGCAGCCTATGGCAGAGGATGAAGAGAGCACATCCAGCCAGTAACAGCCAGAGAAACAGGACTACACTTAAAAACAGGCAGATCTCCAACATCTATAAACAAAGGTGTTGATAGCAGCAGCACAGCTGATATTTCTCTCCAGGATGGTGTCACAGCCAAACAGGAACAGACGAGGCAACGCTACTATGAGAAAAAGAGAGAGTATAACGTTAGACATTGAAATAACAGATTCTGCTGAGTGGGAGAATAGAGATAGAATCAAGCAGAATGATTAAATAGGGGTCCCCATGTCCTCCAGAAGTCTAAGCCTTTAGCAGCCTAGCTCACGATAAACTAAGCCACTATAAGCTTTATCAAAAAGAAAAGTATTAAGTCTACCCTTACAAGTGGACAGGGTGTCTGCCTCACGGACTAAAACTAGTAGTTGGTTCCACAGGATAGGAGCCTGATAACTAAAAGATCTGCCTCCCATTCTACTTTTAGAAACTCTAGGAACCAGTAGTAAACCTGCAGATTTGAAGTGCTCTGTTCAATATATTTGAATTTATTGAAATCTGAGATTGCAAATGAGTTTAAACTTTCAGTAAGGTTAAGACAGCTGAGAACATTCAACTGAACCTTGACTTATAAAAAATACACAAAAACCTCCTTAGAATCAGTTAACCTCAAAAGCATATACATTAGTCAAATGGTATTTTTCTGTGATTTAAAATAGAGTACATGTTAAATCATTTAAAAACTTTTTTCTTTTACATTTCACAGTGATCGTCTTAGCCAACTGAAAAGCTAATTAATTTGATGTAAAAAAATAGAGAAGTGAAATAACTTGTTTGCATATACACACAACATATACTTTGAATTTTGCACCCAAGTCGTTTAAAATCATTGTTTTGTCTTAACTAATAGAATATGTAACACAATCTGATAACATCAAATTACCATAAATCTGATCGGTGTGTTGAGCTCATTATCAATATACCAAATCATAATAATATCAACCGCACATTGAAACATAGCAGCAGTAGCATCATGATTTAAGGTATATTATTTTAAAAATATGTATTGTAAGTGTCAACAAAATAACAAACTGCTCTAAATACCAGTCAGTATTTAAAAAACCTTCATGTTTTTTGTTTTTTTTTAACCTTTCAGTGAATCAGAATAAATAAATATATGCAGTTTACCTTAAAGAAAGAAAGGTTTTTAAATAGGCAAATTAAATCAGAAAGTTTTTGAAGAGGGCTGAAGACAACAGTCTAACACATATAGCGCAGCTTTTTGGTTGGCAAGAGGGGGAAGGTGTTCCCTAGTTAAGATTTATTTGCAACTATCAAAGAAGACGGAATACATGATGATTTTTATAATAAACAAGGCAATTTAGACACTGTTAAATTAATCATAAGTAACGTAAATAATAAATATTTAATGATTTATCATATATTTAAAATAATTACGTTTAAACAAAGTTTTCATAATTTACAATTTCTGTAAGAGTATTTTAAGCGATCTCCCCAAAACTTGATTTGGTTTGAGCCTAACCGGTTGCCATAGGTCAAACACTGTTCAGTAGAAGAAGCTTTTCCCCGTATTTTCCTTTCACAATAAAATAAGATAACACAAAAATGAGCTCATTACGATCTTACACCTTTTATCTTTACATGGAGTGGGTTGTATTTTGATAACATGAAAAACTATTGACTAAATTCATTAAAGAAAATCATAGACGCTCACAATTTTAGTTATAGAAGTTTGTTATTTTTTATTTTGAAAGTTAAATGCTTTGATTTCCGGTGTTAGTGGACTCTTCATAAACGGTGTGTCCTCCATGCAATTCTCCACGATGCTTTATCGTGTCTGTCTAACAGACATGGATTAAAGAGTACAAGTTGAGGTAATATAACTTTATCTGAAAATGTATTTTTTCAAATAATGCAAAAGTTTATCGTGTCATGTTCATAGCAGATCAGATAACAGTGTAGTAACAGTCTTCGGTCTATTAAAATGTCCCACTTCAATGTAGAGATATGTTAGTTTAATGATCAACAGAGCAGCTCACCCTAAAAGCAAAAATAAAAATATATATCCAAGCACGATGCTTTTCATACAGGAGTAAACAGACAGTTCTAATTATGTCACTGTCGTTTATTTCTGTTTCAAATTAGGTGGTTAGTTAATCATAGATTGAATACGTTAACAAGTCTGATTACAACTTTGATATTTTTGAAGTAATATCAAGGGATTTTTTTATGGTATTGTCTTGGTTTGATTTTTTTCTTTTCGTTTTATCAATTCTGTCTGCACTACTATACTTCAAATTAAAACCTCACCAAAATGATCGTTCTAATATATCTCTCAAACAAAGATTGTGGTTCTCAGACTGGATGCTTGTTTCAATTAGATCTTGTTTTGTATTGAGGCAATATATGCACTTTCCTACAGTAACACTGCTCCCATTTTTTACATGTTGAAAACTTAATACATACACAACTCAAAGTTTTGTTGAAAGTATTCCTTAATTTGGGATTGAATGAAAAACAATTTGCAGGAAACCTTTTGAATAGATATCCAATTTATATAAACTAACCAATTGTATGGCTGACTGTATTTTGGCTTGTAATCCTTCTGCAAGATTAAACTTCTCCCCAGTCTCATGTTTTTTCAGTCTTTTAAATATTATATTTCAGTATTTCCCATTTTCTTGCTCCATCTATTTTACCATCGATCCTGAACAGCTTCACTGTCCCTATTGAAAGAAAGCATTCCCACAGTTGAATGCTGCCACCACCATGTTTCACTGTGACGTTTATTATTTTTAGGATGACGTGCAGTGTTAGATTTCCACTTCACAAATCCCTGCTCCATGTAGTCTAAAAAGGTAATTTTGATCTAATCTGATAGAATCATCCTACCAAAAGTTTGCTGTAAACCAGGCTGTTTATTTCTTTCTCTTTTATTTCTTTATCAAGCCAAAACCATGTTTAGTGTATATATATATATAGATCAGAAAGAAATTCTTATATACAACTAAACATTCTATCCAAGCACTTATTTTCATTTTTTCATTGCCGATATAATTTTACTCTATAATCCTTTAAGGCTGCAACTTACGATTATTTTGCTAATTGACTAATCTGTTACTTATTATTTTTTTTATATATTAATTAATATAGCCAAAGGCTCCTTAAAGAAAATTTTTTGCAAAATTAAACCCGGTGACACAGAAACGATTCCTCTTGAGAGGTTCTGAATAGAGCAGATTGATAGACCAAAACCTTTTTTTTTGTCTTAAATGTAAAATGTTTAAAATGTAAAAATGTTTTTTACAATTTTGATATTATTCCTGCTCTAAGTTGGTTGCTCTGTTAGCTAAAGGCATATATTAGAGTCTCTGTTCTCCAGTTAACGATTAATCTATGACTAAATTAGTTAACGATTATTTCAATAATCGATTAATCACAATTAATCTGATTAAATGCCCTGTAATTGTTAGTTAACAGTTTTATCCCTCACCTGTCTGGTCTATTTCTTGGTCTTTATTCTGCTGTTTATTCATCAGTATTATCAAACAAACCTATGTGGCCTTAACAGAATATATTTGAATGCATATAGGTTGACAAAATGCCGCCAATAATGTCACTCATAAAGATAATTGGTCGCACATAATTTTAATTAGGAGTATCAGACTACAGATGCATTTCACAAATTTAGACAAAAATAGTTAAAGAAAGCATATAACATTTCTCTTTCATTTCACAATCAGCTCTTTATTGTGTTGGTCTCTTATAGAAAATCCTCCAAGAATGTATCGAACATTGCAAAATTTGGCATAGTTCAAAAGACACAGATATTTTTGCAAGGCATTTAATCTGTTTTTGTCTTAAATGCAATAAGTTGCTCGTATCATGCTTAGAAAAAGATGTGCAGCCCATTTCTTGGCTTTTTTGTTGTGCTCCCAAGTTAATTTAATTACATTTTGATATGTTTGTATTGTTTCAGCGTGGCACACAGATGGCAACCCGTGTACTTTGTCGGAAGGTCCGCTCCGTCCCCAGCTGGAAAAAAGGCTTCACCCAAGCTCAGGTTATTCATACCAAACCAAAGGAAGAGATAGGTGATCAAGAGGAAAACAAAGTGCCCAAACATCAGGACACTTTTTTCCGAGACGGATACAGACTGCATTACAATCCTTCATCATATCATCAGTTTACTAGCAATTCCTCCAATGCTGGCTCTCAGATTGATAATTATGAAGAGGATCAGTTTTTCAGTGCTCAAGCACCTTCCTTTTGGCAACGTAAAAACCACTACAGTGTGAGTTGCTCACGGCACCTCTCAAGCTCCAAAAACACAATACTTGATTTAACTTTTAACAAAGCCTCTGAAACCAAGGAGAAGTCTGGAATCTACAACAGGAAGCCGGTGCAGCCAGATGTTAAAGTGGACACACGAGCTTTCCTTAAATGCAGTCCTGAGTACACTTCCCTGTCCCTCGACCTCACTCAGCGACCTCACCCAGTAGAATGGGTTGACGTGCTGCCAGTACTTCAAAAAGTGTCTGTTTTAAAGGGCAGGATGAAGCCGTCTGATGTTTCCCATTTTCTTGTACAGCTCAGCAATTTGCACCCAGACAAGATGCCTTTGTTGAAAAGTGACCAGAGGTTTGTCATGCTTCTCCGATATTCTGTGGAGCATATCCGCTCCTTCTCTGAGCTACAGCTGTTGGAGATATTGCAGTCATTTGTGTGGTTGGAGATACCCTCATCCCACACCATGTTAGAGGTGTATGAAGCTGAATTTTGCCGCCGGACCAACCAGCTGACTTTACATCAATTATTGTTTGCCGCTGACTTGTGGCGCTGCATTGGGAGGCAAGTGCCACTGTTCTTGAAGCGCCTCTATGTCTCCATTCACCTTTATATTGGGCAAGTAGGAGTCCCTGAGCTGGTGCAACTGCTTTATATAATTGGAGAAGGTAGGCACTGTCCAAAAGATTTGGTCCGTCCAATAGAGCAACTTGTCTTGTGTCATTTAGCAAACCTGCATCCTGAAGAGATTGGCACTGTATGTCTTGGACTCTTTAAATCTCAAACCTCTCTTCCAGAGAGTACAGTTACTAGTATTGTTGATAGGGCACTCTCTTTTGTAACAGAGATGAGTGATTTTGCAATGGTTAATGTGCTGAAATATCTGCGATTCAGTTATCTCTATCACAGGGCCTGGCTAGAAGCTATGGCACAGGAAGTTCCTCGACGAGCCCACAGGATGGGAGTCCAGGGCCTGATGCATGTGACTTTGACCTGTTCAGCTCTTCATTACCGTGATATCAGCATCCTGACTTCTGTTGCTGAAAGAGTTCCTTCTCTAGTGCCATATTGCAGGAGTAAAGACTCAAGTAAACTCCTGTGGGCCTTTGGCACCTTAGGATTTCTTCCAGCTGAGAGTCCAGGTTTTTATCCGAGCTTGACAGATGGGTTGAGGCAGAGGAAAACAGAATTCCATCGATACCCTGAACACCTGCTGACTGGCCTTCTAGGTCTGGCTTTTGTCTCTCAGTTCCCAGAGGACCTTGTTTCATTAGCTTTGAGCCCCGAGTTTATCCACTTAGCACTGAAAAACTCCCAACTAGAGCTCAAAAAAGACTTGTTCACCTTGGATGCAGCTGTGGCTCTGGAGATTCCTCAGTGGAATGGCCCACGGTTGAGTGCTGAACTCAGGGAAGAGGTGGTGGAAATGCTTTGGAAATTTGCACAGTCAGATGTTTGCCTAAAACCAGAAGTTTTGGAAGCAGAATTGTCTCTTCAGGATCTTCTTGGAGGAGAAAAATTTGTATGCAAGAGAATGATCCTGCCCCACACTCGCTCCATAGACCTTGAAGTACATCTGGACTCTAATGGACAGCCAATACCAGTGGATTTACTTTGTCCAAAAATGAGTCTCACAGTGATTCCTTCTCCACAAAGCTGGGAGAAAAGTAACTCTGGAGTACATATCACTGACAAACTTTTAGCGCAGTTGATAAGAGGCAAAAACTCCACGGATTCCTTAGCTGCGTCTGTTAAAGTTGCATCCAAACCATGCCAAAGGTTACCACCTGATGAGGGTGGAAGACTGTTTGACTCTGTTCTAGATCTGACCAGTGACATGATAGAAACACTCACCAAACCCAGCCGTAAAAGATCCAATCAGCAGGATTCAGCTGGTCAAGGGTTCAAAGGCTCTATCAAACTCGCTGTACAAATCTCTAGCAGGAACCACTATTGTATACAGTCGCAGCAGCTGCTTGGTCTTCATGCCATGAAGAGACGACACCTGAAGATGGCAGGGTACCGGGTGGTGGAGCTGAGTCATTGGGAGTGGTCTTCAGTGATGAGGAAAAGCAGGGCAGAGAAGCTGGCGTATCTTCACTGCAAAATCTATGACAGTCTGTAACGATTCTAAGACCTCGAGAAGAATCAATTGAACAGTATTGCAAAAATGTTCAAGGCCTCTCTGCATCCTGTAGTGTTGAGTATGTGTAAAGCACTGAAAACATTTATTTGGCAAATATTTTACTTCCTGTTTGGAAATATATGGATTTCCAAACAGGATGCTGCACTCATAGAATGCAATGAAATACAATAACACAATTAAAAAAAACAAACTTGTTTTTCACCTTTAATGTGATATGATAATGTGACAGGAATGAAGTGTAATTGATATTTTATTTGTGAAACAGTATTTAGTCATTTTTGGTTGCAGTTCATTGCAGATTGTCTTGAAATCAATCTTTTTTTAGGGGTTATTGACGGATTTAGTTGGACTCATTGTAAGCCATTCCAAATAATTATTCATTTATTTTTTATATTCCTCTGTTGATTTAAAATTTTGTTTAGGCTTGTTATGCTGAAAAAACTCTTTATCTTGATCTTTCTATCAAATGGCGAACTGTTTAATCTGTAAAAAAAAAATGGAACCTTGGTCTATCTCCTGGTTGAAGGTTGCTTTCACTGCTTAATGTATTATATAGATTTGTGTCCCAAAAGTGCAGGTTTATTCTCTCAGGATCATATTCCCCAAGAAAAACAAAAAAGAGAAATTTAAATTTTTAAATTTTTTATTTTTATATAAAAAAAAAATAATCTGTTGTAAAACCCTGCTTCTCAGTCCAGACAGCCTAAACACATGGCCTTTTGTTGTAGCCACTAGTATTACTGCAAGATATGTTATTCCACATTTTTCCAAGTAATGATGATAAATGTTATGGATTTATTTAGTATCCTTCCGCTAACTTCTCTGTGTGTGGGTTTTTTATGATTTACATGCTTTTTTATTTCCATTATTAGCTTAGTTTTGCCAGCTTTGTTATATATCAGCCAAATTGAAATGTTAATTCTCACAGTGACAATATCTAGACTACAAACACACAACATTTAGACATTAAGAATGGCAGAGGTAACGCAATGACTAGTGTATGTGTAACTAAAGGGGTTGGTTTACGTTTTTAGGTTGATTTTCATAATTTGCTGTTGTTTTATAGATGGAACACGGGAGGCGCCTGGTTACATTTCAGGAAAATCTATTAGGACATCTGCATTTTTATGTTAGATTTGAAATCAAGAAACAAGTTTTTTTTTTCAGTTGTGCTGTTCAGAATTAATGTCACATTAAAGGTGAAAAATATTTTCGAAGGATGTCTTCATCTATAATAGATATTATTTTTCACCACCTAAACCTGTCGGTTGTTGAGGTGTTTACTGTTTTGTATACTTAAAAAGCAATGTGTAATTTCAAATGTGCATTCCAGCTTTGTAGAAAGATCAAAATAAAATATTGAATTCCTCACTCTTCCTGTCTGTATTTTGGTCTTCAACAACACTTTGTTTTTTTTGTCTTGTTGTACATCTAAACTGAAATGATGATTGATATTGCTGGGAAAATTTTCAGGTTTATATTATTTACAATTTTATTTTAATTGGATGCTTATGATGATTCAAGTATGTGGGGAAAAGTCTTTGATTTGCTTCTAAAGCAATATAAAATGCAAATGAATTTTTAGCTATCTGGTGTACCTGGGTATAATGTGAAAAGTATCATGTGTTGGACAACTCAAGAAAAAATAAAGTACAAAAAGAAAAGGCACATATTGAAAAAAAAAAAAAAGCTATTCCATGCTTATATCTGTAAGATTTAGCTCTGTGCTTTGTTCATATGTAGCCCTACATTCTGTAAACTTCTAATGCACACTAACCATTCCCTGAATTGTTTTTTTAACTGTCTTGGCATATTAAGTGACAGATTGGTCACAATTCCATTGACCCTGGAAATACTCCCTTTTTACGCTGCACAGAACCGATCCTTTCAGTTGCAGCTCTCTTGACCTCCCTAAGCTATTGTAAGATGACTTTGATCTTAAGGTTTTGTGCCCATCTATCATTTCTCACCCTATCACATGGAAATATGGTACTATTGAGAAAGTCTTTTGTCGTGCATTATTTTTCATGATGGAAAAAATAATATAAGCACAGATTTCCTGTTGAACTTTAGGAAGATACAACTTTTTTGCCTTGTGAGGTCATGTAATGCTGCAACTATAGCTGGAAATAGCAGCTGGTATTGATCATTTGATTTTTTTTTTTTATCCAGTTTCCCTAACTCATTTTTTGTTATTGTATGAGATCAACACTTTGATGCGATAACCTACAAGTCTGATCGTGCTTTGATCAAAATATGAGAGTTATGATTCACTTGTAGCTTTCAGAGTGAATATTGCTGCTGAAATTATCTGCAGGTGCTAAAACAGATGCTAATTTGTTTTGTTCTCATCTGAAAGCTGTGATAAATCTCAGTTATGGGCACATTTATTTATTACTTTTAATGTAGACCCTCTCCATTTTTCTTTATGTCACTGTCAGCTTTGCCTTCGGTAATCTTTTATGGCTGCCATTATACTTTGGGAAAGCAAAAGTAGCTTCAAGGTTTTCTGTCAGGCACAGTGTCTCAAAAAACTAAAAAGAATACATTTTGTAGTCTCTTACTCTTAGGTACAATAGACTACTTTAAAATCGTAAATCACCTGAACTTTCCCACTTAAGAAGCTAAATAGATAACCCCTACTTTTAGCTGTTGACACTTAAATAGTAATCTGGAAGGAAAATTTGAATGAATAATACAATAAAATTATAGTGAATAAATTAATGATGAATCATTACAAAAAAAACTTATTTATTTTGAGGAATGAGTCACACACAATGCACCAAAATCAAGAACACACAAGGTCATCAACATCTATTGGCATGTTAATAAAAGTGATTTATTCAGTGAATCATAGCCAGATCCATAAACAAAGAAACATGAAATAGGGGTATACCATCCTAAGTGTAGTCTAGCCTGCCAAAATTACTTTAAGAGTATGCAGAGACTCAACAAGGTCACTAAAGATCTAAACCCTCATCTAAAGTATGAAATATCATCTGCTTCAGTTATGGTTAGTGTTCATGATTCAATTATAAGATAATTTCTTTGTTTCCTGAAAAAAAAAAAAGTCTTGATGGACCCCCAGACATCTGGGAAATTATTGTGGCAGCACAAAAGTGGGACAGTCCTGAAAGAAAAAGACCAGAATAAAGGTAACATGTAAATAACAGTGCAAAGATCTGGGTTGCTTTGTTGCAAATGTCATTATTTATAGAATCATAATTTATTAATCAAATTCTGCTCTTGAGCAATAAATCTGGCTTTCAGTTTTTTTTCCCTTTGAGGCTGTTACCGGTATGTAAAAATGGATGGATATTAAGAGATTATTATTAAATCTAAACAAAACAAAAGTAATGAATTTTATTAATCACAAAAGCATCCCTGCACTACAAATGATCATTGACGATGTACAACTTAAAATTGTGTTTGAGGATAAGTTCTTTGGTGTTATCATGAATAATACATTTTGAAACCCCAACTCAGGTATACAAAAACAAAAATAGCAAAGAGCCTCTCAGTTATAAAAAAGCTAAGCTGGCTCTTAATCATAACATTCTTCATATATATATATATATATATATATATATATATATATATATATATATATATATATATATATATATACTCTTTAGTTTTCCCCTATTGCATATACTTTGTTGAAGTGGTAATAACTTCAAATAATACATTTTTGTTTGCGGCAAAAAAGGACATTGTGGATAATTTAAACGGTTGGCTTTTTAGAACATACTCCTGCTCTCTTTCCCCAGTCCAATTATTAAAGTCGTATGACCTTGTAAAATCTTATACACAAACTATGGTATTTAAAGCATTTGATAAACAGCTTCCAAACAATTTGCAAAATCGTTTTAATCTTAAAGATAACATTTATAATTTGAGGGGTTATGGAAATTCCATACTATCTAATGTTTAAACCAATTGTAAAAGTTGTATGACAGCATGTGGGCTGAAATTGTGGAAATGCTAAAGACTTGCCGCAAAAGCCATGGAAAAATACTCACAAATTGAAGGCCTTGTTGTTCTTGGTACCTTGCATTCCTTACCATTGTTCTCATGCGCTATGCTTTACCTGAGGTTTTATTACCTTTGTATGTGCTTTCCTTCACTATTGTTGTGCTGCTATTGTTGGTAATTTAGTCCTGACCATTGTGTCTTGTTGCAATCTCAAAAAAAAAAAAGAAAAAAAAGAGAAGGGACAACTAATGTGTAACCTATTTATTGTCTGTGCCGATGATCTATTTGAAACCTATACAGGTTGCTCTTGTTTCTGTAGTTTTTTTTTTAATGTTTTTTATTTACTTTTTTCTTTATTTATTATTAGGCAGCCATGATAAAAATTTATGTTACGTTATAACTGAAGACAGTGGAGGGATTCCCACCTCTATAGTATTGCATATGTACTGGATACTTATTTTTCTTGAAATAAAGAAATGATAATAAAAGAAACAGAACTTGAGGAGATCTGGGGGATTAAAAAGATAAGTAGAACTAATAAATTATTGAAAACTTCTGAAAATATTCATAGCCAGCACACACACTTTAAGATAACGGTTAGACAAGACCTTTGTTTTACTTTCCGCAATCAGGAAGCTGAATTTAGTTGCTTTCTTGAGATATACAGTATGTGTTTAATCACTGTCTATATATTTCCTGCAGATCACAGTCTATGTGTATAAAGGAGCAGCAGAAACGTTTAGTGTAGAAAAAAAAAAATCAGCTCGGCATCTGTCCTCATTTTGTGGGAAAGCTTGATAACCCCCAGGAGGTGCAGTGAAAGAGGCTGATTTATCCCTCCTCAATAATGAGGATGAAAGAGGAGCAGAAATTGAAGTTGGCTTAACGTGTCGTGTTTAAAAGTTACCAGAAGAGGGCGATGTTCACTTAGGGAACCTCCCCTTGTGTTTTACATTGTAGCTCAATGACCATGTTGTCCTATATCTGATCATTTTTGAAGCAGCTGTGCACCACCACTCTAAAGCTTATCCGTTGATCTACTGTTTTATAAAAGTACAACAACATTCTGAAAGATAATGTTCTCTTTTTTCATGTTAAAAATATATTTACAACTATAATTAACTGCAACTCTTATTGCAGCTAAAACAGAAACATACTCAAGGGCAAAAGGTGGATTCTGATAAGGTTGAAAGAAGTTTGT